AAACACACGAGGAGACTTTCGACTAGCTAATTTTTAAGTGCCGTAGACACTAGACATTTACAAACAAATCTTCGGATAGATTGCAACGAACTATACCACGCAAACCACGATAACTGTCGTGCAGCAACGTTGTTCACTGGAATTTGAACCCAGGTACAACTACTAATGTTTTAGGACTTACCCCGCTTGGTCTCTAGTGACTGATACCTCTTGAAATAAGTCTAATGAGATGCTACCTATGTGCTGAAAAATGTATTAAAGAAAATTGCTGCTAGGAAACTGAATGCTAGGAAACACTTTTAAGTCTTCTGAATTACAGATTTACATGTCTGGTAAATGGGTTAAATTTATCTGTACGCCGTTATGAAATACTATGAATATAACACAAAAATATCACTGAAGAAGGAAATGGTAATCTAAATGTATATCATTAAGAGTATCTGCTGTTAATTCCGATAATACGGTTTCTTGTTTTAATCTCAATGGGACGTGGAAGTTCGCATGTTAGAAGAGATTCTTCAGAAATGCGAAGTCTTGTATTCTTCAAAACAATGGACAAGTGAAATGTATGGATGGAAAGTATTTCAACTGACAAAACCGGAAGTCTCTTTCTTTGCGTTTATTCTTTCCAAACCTAGCGTGAAACTTGGGAAATATCCGTTAAATTCTTCACGTGAAGTTGAATAAATGATAGAGAAACGGTCCTTTAAAATATTAAATGTCTGGATTTGGGCTGCGGATGGCCATTGCTAGTAACCATGGTTACCTTCTTGAGTTCCCAGCTGCGGCTGTTGAGCCGCCGATCACGTACAACTTCCCTTCAATTTCAAAGCTCGTGAGCTTCTTGACACTCTTTTGATGCGCCCTGGCGATCTTTTGATGTTTGGCCTCCAAGTTTCCGTAACAGCTTAGCTTGTGAAGCAAGGGGAGGAAGAATACTTTTTTTTGGGAGGGGGAGAAATATTTCGAAGCTTCAAAAATTGTGAAGAAATACCAAGTCAGACGAGGTTTGGGAAAAGGGGATTTTGTGTTGGGACGGCTTTTTTTGATATAGCTGGATTCTACCGATGTTTCTTCGAGTGCTTTTCGTTTTTGGATCCGTGTTTTCTAGAAATGTGTAAGACTGTGTTTTTACTATGTGTATTAAATATCCCTTATGCGAAATATAAATCCAGAAGCGTTAGGGATATGGAATATACAAGTTGTTTGTTTATTTTAAAACGATTTTAAAGAAGAAAAAAATTTTAATTCTCAAAACTGCAGAATTATTTGGTCATAATTCAGCGAACCTTAGCTACAAAAACATGCAGTAAAATAGCCTGATTTAAAAACTTCATACGTGAAACAAGTTTTTAACAAACAACAATCATTTATCTCGTTCCAGAGAGAGATATTCTTATTGTGCAGTTTGTTAAAATCGAGAATTATTACTTCTAAACAGCGAAATTTTTCTTTTATATATATATTTAAAAAAAAAAAAAGCAAGAAATAAGGTCCGAAAAATGTATTTACTTTTACGAGCATTTCAAACGTAAAGATTCTAATGCGGTATGGAAATGCATCAAAATAAATAATAACCACAATAAATATCCCCCTGTCAATAGTTTTTCTTTAAAAGAAAAGTTTAAGTTTCAAAAATGCTGAAACGTTCATTATTTTATTGTGAGAATTATTAGCAATGCAGAGCGTGTTGGAGAAACCTTTATTAAAATAATTTATGTGAAAATTAGTGGAATATATTACCACGTTTCATAAAGCATGAGTTTATATAAATGATTATAATAAAAACAAATTCTATCAACTATTACATAGCAAATCGATGGATGTAAAACCATATATATCGATAAATATAACTGGGTTTCAAAACTTCAATGAAAATTTCAGTAAAGAATTTACGATTATTGTTTATTTCTGTTACAAAGAAAATCACAATTAACTTTCGTTGGGAGGGGGGTCAAAATTAACTCTTTCTGTTACGAAAATAATATTCCAGCTTATAATTTTTTTTTAAAAAAAAAGAAACTTCATTTTTTTTTTATCCTTAGAGTGTCAAAAAGAAAGCCCATCAAGATCAAACAAACAATCATACATCCAAATAAATTCTTGAAAAGTGCCTAAAAAGACGATAATTAAATTTTAATCTTTTGTTTATATTTTTTTGTGTTAAAGTCCATCGATGTTTTACAAGTGAATTGTTATACGCTGTAGGAACTACTCAAAAGAGCAATTTTTAGTAAGCGGGGACTTGAAACACTTCTTGGATTACAGTTAGTTGCTTGGTTTGATTGTGGCAAAACACGCAAGACTTATCTACTTAAGTAGAGGGATGCCTTCGTGAAGGATTTTCTAAGGGAGAACCCGTATCGATGTTATATCTGAGGAAAATCACTAAACCACTCGATGCAACCGGCCATGTCATAGATAGATTTGAACCTGAATTGAATCACTAATTTTTAACGATTTTTACCACTCGACTGCTGGCGAGCTGCAATTACCGAAAATAACGGACAGATGTCGTTAGGTTAGGCCAGTAGTTGGCAAACCGTCGCATGAGGGGCGGCGCTTCAGCCACTTACTTGAGTGTGGCTCTACCACGAATCGAATTCGACTATGCGCGGAAGAGTAGCGGGCGCGGAGTGGCGAAAAATGGCTGTTGAATTTTCTTTCTTCCTTTAAGAATATATTTTCTTCTTTAGTAATAAATTAAATAAACTGTCGAATAGTTTTCGAACTGGTACGAAAATTCGTATGATGATTTTAATTTGCTACGTTCAAGTACTGCTGTGTATTACAAATAGTAAAAATACTCACGTGTTAAAAGTCCAAATACAATTTCTGTGAGTCTGAAACATTGTATTTATTTCCCAAAGAAAGGGATCATTTTTTCTGAAAAGCCGTCGTGTCTGCTTGTTTTTATTTTTTTATTCCTCTTACCAGCTTAGCGGGGCGTCTTTTTCTTATGCAAATATTTATTAAACGTTTTACTGCTGGAGGAAAAAGCGTATGAGATAAAACATTATAAAAAATATGGGAGGAAAAGCATCCTTTCTTCATCAGAGTACGCTTTGAGCCATAATAATAATCTCATTTACTGGAGAAAGTGACTTCAACTACGGATGGAATTTCATTAATTTTAAATTGGAAGAGACTTTTTCCCCCTTCTCTTTCCTTTCATAGCTCTTCTCCGCTTTAAAAATCTCGTTTTTAAGTGCTCTAGAAACGGATTATTTTGTTGTCGTCATATGTTGTACTGTTAATCCTGGTATGTTGATTGCTGGAAGCATTTGTTAACTGGTATGTATGCGTGTGGTGGTATTAAAAAAAATAGGAAGATAATATTGTATTCTATTTGGATCAAGAAATCTCTTTTTTAGTTTTAATTCTTATTTTTGTGCTGTAGCGTAGCGGAATCACGTTTTATCCTTTTTTTTTTTTTTTTAATATTCCTCTTTTTTTCACATAGGTAATGGAATTTTATTTACAGCTAGATTGCACAGTTGATTGTAATTGAATTTTGTTACTGTTTGTGGCGTCTGTAAAGAGAAGATTACATTACGGTTTTAGAGGCAAATTTTTGTTCTAAGCTTATAAAATTCTTTGAATTTATTTTTCATACGAACCAAACTCCTTGTTTCTTATAGCTTGCAGTACTTTTTACAGTAGACGGTATTTCTTTATGAATAAGGGGGAGGGGATTTTTTTTTTTTTTTTTAAATTAAGATATTAAGAAGCCGCATGACGGTCACTGTATAATGCTTTCTCGTTTATGATTCGGTGTGCTAATCCAGGCTGAGGTATGAGTAACTTTTTGTTCATTAGAGTCGTCTGAAATCCGCCTGTACGACAGTGCTATCAAGAGGTTCATATGAGACATTCGAAAGTTTCAATTTCTTTTCACCACTAATTTTTAATTAAAATTAGGATTGTGCTGGACTGTGTTACGATCTAGGAAATTATATAGAAAACTGATAAGCTTACATACAGTGCGAAAAAGTAAACAAACAAATAAAATATACCATAACTTTTCAGGTTTTCAGATACCAATAGCAATAAATTTGTTGCATGCAGGAAATATAAATAAGGCACTAAATATAATTCGATATAAGCTGTTTCTTACTTTTGTACTTTTCCATTTCAAATTTTAATGTAAATATTTTATACTCGGCATATGCGATAATTCGATACAAACGAACTCTATATAAGTGGATTTGAATGTACTTGCAAACGAAGATGATAAAAACTGATCATTTTTGCCCGTTACTCATCATTCTTTACTTTGTAGGGTTTATGTTTATTTTAACTAACATTTATTTTAAGTTTAAATTATCTTTCCTGTCAAGCCTTACTTTCCCCTGGAATTGCCAATGCCAGAGTATGTAAATTTTAGTAGAACGCGCAAGGATTCAAATTGTCAGCGGAACTATTCTGAGTTAAATAGAAGGGAAACGAGTTCGAAGGTGTGCTTTCTTGCTTCACGAGCGTGGAGGTGGCTAGTTAGAAATTGAAGAACCACGCGTTTCGGCCTGTGTGCTTGCCTCGGAAGTTTGTTAATCTTTCAACGTAATATTCAGAAGTTTGCTGAATTATCAGCGGTATTTTAGAACGCGGTGAGGTTAGTTACGTTTAGAGAGCCTCGTAGTTAGTCACTTGTTATTATCTCTTTTCAGTTTCTTATTTTTATTTTACCGCCGGGTCGGCGTAGATTGTGAGCGTAAAGAGCACGCATTTGTAATTTCTAAAGTTGAATAAAAAGGGATTTAAACCCTTCTCAAGACTTTGGTCTACTTTCCAGTTCTTAGCAGTCACCACTATTGTTGCGTGCAGTTTGGAAGCGCGCAACATTACAATTTATTATACCGAAATATAGTTATGAGCTTTTTTAAGAACTTTTTATGAAATTTTAGACATTTTATAGATTTCTCATTCATTGTCTAGTGATTAATATTATGTTTATTAAATTGTTAAGTTCTGTATAATTAAACGTGTTTGTTTTCTCCCAGGTGCCACCTGACCTACCACCGCCTCGACCAGAATCTCCAAAACGTAAGTTTTCTGCTTCATTCCTGTATAATATATTAAAACTTTTGTCATCTTTAATATGCGTAATCGAGACATAAAAGTTACAGATAACACAGCTCAGAATGTCTTATTCGAGATTCATTTAACTATTCTGGGATCTAAAACTTACATTCAAGTTGTGATGTCTGTGATATTTTTTTTTGGGGGGGGGGAATTAAAAATGTGCTTGAATGTACTTGATTTTATTTTGTTCTTTACGCTGCTGAAAAATGTATGATTTTGTTTACCAGATGTGAATCATTCTTCAAAATAGGTGGTATTCAGAAAACTTGTCATAATGCTCTTTAATATTTAACCTGCTTTTACTTATGACATTTAATATATTATTACATTCAATAAACCATTTGCTTTCTTTTATTTATAGCTTAAAATATATTTAAATAATTTAAATTTATTAATAGTTGCAGTTCAGAATATCCCCCTTTTGCGTCAATGCAACATTTGCATCGTTCTAGCGATAATTGATAGTTTTATGAAATTTTTGCTACTGATATTATTCGTGATGGCTCTTTTTAAAATTTCCTGTATGAAATTTTAATTGATATGTACTATAACTCTCGTGAGTGGGCCGATAAAATGAGTACCAAGTTCGCTTGGGGACTAAACACCGGTGGTCCTGCGACAGGCTGACCACTTGTCCAAGCAAAAGATGCACAAGCACCCCGGAGCCAACTGTCTAGAAAGCAGATATCAGGGCACTGCCCGCCATGACTTTCTTACGGCTGTTTGTGCGTGGCGTTGCAAATGCGGTCAAGAGCGGGAGACTGCCGAGTTTACTTTAGTTTCATATGCTAAAACAGGGAAATTTCCTGCATTGATATTATTCGTGACCGATATGATTTTAGACTGGATCCGAGGCTGCGGGCAAAGAGTTGGAAATTACCATTTTCAGTGGATGAAAAAAGAAGCATGGTCGCATGAATCTGGAAAATAACGTAGATAAATTCGATACTTGATGTTTTCTTCTATTACGGCCTGTAGTGATGCAAGGCGATCAGTACTTGTATTAAGTAACCAGACGGTTTACTTTCGATTATCCTGCCAATGATCCAAAAATCTATTTTGGAATTCCAAACATCGTTTATAATTTAATATTTTTAATCGCTCCAGATGCTCTTACTACTGAACTGCGTTGTAATCTAAGATAGCATATGTGGTCCAGATATTTCTGTCAGGGGATTTTGATGTGTTTTTGGCATTTTGCAAATCCGGTTTTTGGCTTGATTTCTTACTGGAGGTTCGAGTAAATAAATCCATGCTTTATGGACGATTGCTACGTTCCAGATCTGCTTATAGACGTCAAGATGACTCATACTCAAGCCTATTTAATGTGGATTCGATTCGTTTTGGACTCTTCTATTCAACAGTTTTTGGGGGATGGTGAGAATGAAGTTACACTGTTAGTAGACATTGTCTTAATGCATTTTTCTGCGAGTCTACAAGTCCACCAAAACTTTGAATGCTTTAATTTTTTTTTAGATTCTTCTTCTCGTTTTGAATTTTAGATTCAAATTTCTAGTCACTCCTTCTATACTTTTTACCTTTCTAATCTCACTCTATGAATCGAAGAAGGAGTCAGGTCTGATGGCGGATTTATTAAAATCGTTCGAGCTGATCATTCTGTGATGGGTTTCAGCTGTTGAACGTTTCTCAAGAAACAAAATTTTGATCATTGTGTTTGAAAGTGAGATAATTTAAACTTGTTAGAACACTTCATTTGTCTGAACATACTCTAGTAGACATAGAAAGAAAAAATACCGATAGACTGATAGCTGATGCTACCAACAAATGATTATCCAAAACTTTAATGCTAAGCGAAGCAGTTTAAACAAGTTTTATCCCGGTGGAACAATAAAATAAACTTTACTATACAACTTTCTGTACTTTACTATACAACTTTACCTCCGTATAAGTGTTCTGTCAGAACTATTTAGGTTTCGAGATGTGTCGTTTTTGCCATAAATCTGATATAAACTTTGAAATGATATTATTCCTGACCTATTCGATTCAAAACTTTTCATTAATTGAGGCTTCTGTCTGAAGAGATTTTTCATATGCCATTTTTCTTGTTTATAAGTTTAAATATAAATTACACGTAATATGGTTGTAACTTAAAATTTTCGCTTTTTAATTGTAAAGTTGTAGTACCCAACACTCCTACAGCATTTCACTATACACCAGAATTTCACTGTTGCACCCAACAGTGAAATACTGGTGCATTTAAATGAATGATTTATTTGAAAAATATTTAAAAAGAACTCAAATTTTTAAAAAAATTGAGGAATATAAAAAAAAATGGTTAGAATATTTTTCTTTGGTTAGAGTATTGCATCTCTTGTGCAGTTGGTAATACATAACAACTGATGAAAGTTTTGTGCAAATAATTCGAAATTAAAATAATATAAATTGCTTTTAAATTAACTGTGCAAATAATTTGAAATTAATTGGAGTTTTTCATTCAAAACACTTAAAAAATATTAAATGATTCTTGTATAGGACATTTTATGGAACATTAAAAAAAAAAAAAAAAAAGATTAAACACCTTAAGAGCGACTAATTTAAAAAAATTAATCAAACAAAATAGACTTTCTGGACAATTTAGGTCACATTACACTTTTAAAAAAATATACGTTTTTCGCCGTTGATTCTGTCTTCCTACGTTCAGTGATCTTCAAAACTATCAAGAACATCCATTTTCTTGAAGCTCTTATTTATTATTGCTTCATCATCCATGTACCACAGTCCACGAGCAAAGGACGGTAACTACTGCGTAGACGACGCAGACGATAATGATGAAGTGATGCAGATGATAATGACTACGCAGGCAATGACTGCGTAGATGAATATATTTTAAAATTTAGGGAGCTTGCTTTTTAACACCTTTAGAAAAGGAAAAATTACATAATTCTTTAAAAAAAATTCAGAATTTTTTGCTGAAACCCTAGGGGAGGGGAAATACGCGAGTAAATTCGGTATTTTAATTGATGTCATGTGAAATGAAGTTGTCGTCGTCTGAAAGTCCATCCTTACTTGATTCATTTCTTCTGTAGTGGATCTACAACCAATTATTGAAGAGATATTTATTTATTCGTACAAACTTTCTGAAAACGCCGTATGTACAAAACATATCTTTTTTTTATCTGAAGACGCTATTCAAATAAGTAACCGAAAGCCTGAAAAAACTCGTAATACGTGAGGGGAGGCAAGAAATCATGGAATATAGCAGCTGTACATACACAGTCTCTTTTCTTCAAATAAGAGACGAATGTTTTGACACTTTTTTTTTTGGTAAGTGTCAAACCGGAACTGCTAAAAAAAACATACATTAATGTCACTTTAAACATGACGAATTGCGAGCGAAAATATTTGCACGTGTTTGCTACATTTAACTTAGTTAACTCCTCTCGGGAAAATCATCTTGTATTTTTAACTGCCGTTGCCGAAGTATAATTAGTTCGGGAAGTATTTTGTGCTTGGCATATTCATTTAACTGAGGCAAATAAGTGAAGAAATTTGAGAAGGAATTTTTTTAAGCTGAAAGGGAAAAGCTTCTGTAATGACATTTCAAGAGAGATTTTTTTGGGGACCCATCAAAAGGTATTTCATATTTCCCTCTCTCCAACTTATGTTTAAAATTTTGTTTTTTTAGTTTTTCAGTTTTCCACTATTAAATTTTATTACCTGAATATTTTTATTCGCCTTTAATTTAGCGAATTTTATTTTAATACATAAATTTAAATTATATTTAAGCTTTCATTTCCAAAAGCTGATGTCAAAGCACATATTGAATATTCAGTAAATCTTGCCACTTAACTATTAAAATTTGGAGGCTGCGGTCTCATTCGTTTTATTCTCTATATTATAGCAAAAAAAATTGCAGTAATTGATTAATTACATATTAATGTAAAGATTTATTACATATTACCGCGAGGACTGCTTTATTACATATTATCCTATTTCCAACTAATTACATTCGTCAGGATATAGTTAATAAATGTATTTTTTAATCATTGACGGAAATTTCTACTGCTTAAAATTAGTGCAAGATTAAAATTATTATTATGTCTTATTAATTATTATATTATTATGTCTTAAGAGTTGCTTATATTTCAAACAGGATTTTTTGAATAATTTATGGCAGCCTTTTGCTAAAACATTGGTACTGCTTAGACATTATTCGTGGAATACATTAGGGTAGAATTTTTGATAGAGAAACTTATTGGTCTTTTTGTAAAAGAATGATGCTATTTAAACATGAATCATGTAAAATTTTGATTAGGGTAGTTTTTTTTCTCCCCCTCCTTTTTTCAAAAATATTGGTCTCATTTTACAATTGTGGACACGTTTGGAAATTCTTATGTTTTTGAACATTGTATGCTTATAGAAAACGTTACGTTTCACAAAATGCAAACTTGTATATATCATTTTAAAGAGAATTTATTACTGAATTCAATACAAAACACAAAATTCAATTATTTGCAATACCAAAAAAGTTAAACGATAATAGTTATCGATATACATTAGATAGTGATGTTTGCAGTGAGTTATCAGTACTTAGTAGGGTACCCTTTATTTTTGATTACAGCTTCACATCGACGTTTCATTGAGCTGACAAGAGTTTTAAGCTCTTCTTTCGTTATTACATGATGCCAGGAAACAATTATAGCCTCAATTAGTTCCCTTTTATTTGATGAGCGCCTCATTCGGACAAGAGTTTTCAAACGGGGTTCTTATATGGTTTTGAGTAGGGAATGGCACAGTGGAATCTCATAAATCTTAAAAACGATTCGTAATATGGAAATTACATCTTCGGCTTTTTTCGCCATGTTTATCTTGAGAAACCACCTAAACTTAAGATCACTAAACATTTTAAAATCAAAACTTCGGATTAGTTTTATTGGCATTCGGCATTTATTGAAGTTTCATTAAAAGAAGAGCTCTATTGTTTCAATTTCAGTGAATCT